GGGGAGTTGGAGATATAATGATGTGTCTGAGCAGGTGGGTGGAAGGAGAAAGACGGGGGAGGGGGTGTTGGCGGGACAGAGGGGAAGAGAGAGAGAGGGGGGATGCAGAGGTTGTTCTGTGAAAATGCATGCATCTTGCGTTTGGATATGTTTGAGTGGCATGTTGAGTGAGAGAGAGAGAGAGAGAGCGAGAGAGAGTGAGAGAAAGAGAGAGAGAGAAAGAGAGAGAGAGAGAGAGAGAGAGAGAGAGAGACAGAGAGAGACAGAGAGAGACAGAGAGAGAGGGGGAGGGGAGAGGGAGAGAGTGTGTGTGTGAAGAGAAAGGAGACGAGTGTTGAGACGACGAGAGGATAGGGGTGAGAGGGATGGCAATAGATAATGGAAGGAGGGAGTGGGGAGAGGTTGCAGATCAAGACAATGACACAAAGGGATAAAGAAAATCAAAGTCAGACAAACAGACATATAGACAGACAAATCGAATTCCGATAGCGTATGAAATACAAAGCTAGATCTAGATCTAGTGTTAAACGTTTAAATAAGAAAGAGTGGGTGTCGGGAACATTTCTTCTCTGAAACCTCGAAGATAAAGCAGTTAACAAGACTGAACGATAGTTATTAGTGTATTATCAGGGGAGAATCAAAATGTTTTATTTGTAGTGTATGAACGTTGCAGATGGGACCTTTTGGTTCTAGCTGGCTTAATGTGGTAGTGACTTGAACGAATACAATAGTGCCATGGCCTCTTTTTGTTGGGTGGGAAATTGTGTGCTATTTAGATGATGATACTGTACGACTTAAATTTAAATGGTGTCATATCATATAGAAGGCGGGGGCTTCTGTTTTAACGGCTATCTCCGAAAAAAAACCTCGCGGTAGGCAGGTGACGGGTCTGGAAAACTGCCCCCAAAAACGTAATTTCGAAAACGCCCTGTTAGGGAATGGAACCATTGTCGTCAACACAGTAGCCCAGCATTTACAAACTGAGCCATAGGCGCACCCTTTCGTTGGAAAAACCCATAGAAAGTGTATCTTTTTCCTATTTAAAGTATTGTAGTGGTCAAAATGCTAAAAATAATATCCAGTCTCTGTTATGGTGTACTTTTAGCTCAGTTTGATCCATGCCAGACAAATAAGCCGATAACCAGTAAATGAAATATCATTTATCTTTTTTTTTAATGCCGATGACCCCTGTTGGAACCCCGAAGTTAACGTTCTTGAACTTGTGACCTGTTTAAATATTACATTTTGCCAATTAATTGTCCTGGAGCTGTCGAAAATATGCGTTACGTTTAGGGTCCGGCCTCTTACGATCCCTTACAGTGAAGATAGAGTGAGTGGTTGATGGGGGCTCTGGTGTGGATCGCTCCTTCTTTCCTCTCAAACATCTATCGCCTTTATCTCCCCTCCTTCATTTTTGTGTTTGTTACTCTCTTGTAACACCTCTAATCTTGGGCTCTTATATGACCTTATTGTGTTGCAAGTACCGTAAAACACTTACTCAAACTAAAAGTGAAGTTACAAAGGTGCATATCCCACAAACTGCGTCTACTGTGTAGTAACATGCTGTTGGCCGTCCCACGCAAGAGACATGAGTTTCATTCCCGTGTTTGATAAATTATTACTATTACTATCGCTATTACTATTACTATTATTACTATTATTATTATTATTATTATTATTATTATT